TTAAAGGAAGAAAGGAAGTAAGAAAGAAAGAAAGAAAGAAAGGAAAAAGAAGGAAAGAAAAAAGAAAGAAAAGAAAGAAGAAAAATAAAGAAAGAATGTAAGAAAAAAGAAAGAAAAAGAAAGAATGAAAGCAAGAAAGAAAGGAAGAATGAAAGAGAGAAAGGAAGAGAGAATGTAAGAAAGAAAAAGGGAGAATGAAAGAAAGAAAAGAAGAAAGAATGAAAGAAAAGAAGGAAGAATGAAAGAAAGGAAGGAAGATGGAAAAGCAGTCAAAATATGGATACAGAAATTAAGATAGAAAGAAGATGAAATCGAAGTGTAAATACGAAATAAAATATGGTAGAGTATAAAACGAAAACATAAATAGAAAGAGAGAAAGAAAGTTTCAAAGAAAGAAAGGTGGTAAAAAAAGAAGAGAATAAAAAGGAAATTTAGGAAGCCAACAACAAAAAGAAGAAAAAAACCCAGAACAAATGAACTAATGAAGAATAAAAAGCAAATAAAAACGACAAAAGAGAAACGTAAAACATGAATGAGCCATTTTCCATTTCCCTAAATTGCAAATTTACGGTTTAAATTAATTCTAATATCTGATTTCATATCACCGAAATTTCGTGCATATTTTTGCAATGCAATTACACGCTTACCTGACAATTTAATCAAGGTGTCGGAACCAGAGGTCCTAAATGAAAAACGCCCAGCGTGAATAGCTTATTCAGACCAATTCTACGATTAAATATTTCCATTATTCTCTGAATTATTTAGATTAATACAAATTCTGTCTGCAAATGATCCAACCGTTTAATATTATAGTAAATATACCGAACTGAACGAAATAATAGTTTGGTCTTCTTCAAGGTACACGCCTTGGGGACCCTCCCAGACATATTCCAGTGTCTCTTTCACGTTTCCAAACAATCTGCAAAGCCCTATTTCGTGCTTGGCACCACCTGTCTCATCGGTTTCTATTTGACCTCGTCTAGCGTATTTCAATGTCGGTTTTACCTGTGGGGAAAAAAAAACACCAGAAAACGGAGGGAGGCAAAGCTGACAAGCGTGAGTGATAAAAACCACTGCACAAGAGATGAAGTATGTACCAACTCAATCATTCTGATTCAATAATGGTTTACTTCCGACTGAGTAACCCCACAGGAGAGTATATTTTCACGTAGGTGCTAATCACTCAGTTATGTGTCACGCATGATACACGCTTAGGCGATCATGTATCTTTCGAAACATGACTGACTAGGCATATATTTTCCCAGTAGTAGGTTGCCATTTCTTTCTGCATAGACCAGTTGCCATCCAAGACTATAGAACCCAGTCTGTCCTGCTATTTATCCATAGCTGGGGGAGATGAAGAAGATTCTTACCTTTCCCAAGGGTATAAGCATGTAAGCGAATTTCAGTCAGTTATGTGCCATGCGTCATACACGTTTAGGCGATCATGTATCTTTCGATAGATGACTGATGAGGTAGATATTTTCCCGCAGTAGGTTGCCATTTCTTTCTGCAGTAGACCAGTTGCCATCCAAGCCTATAGAACTCGGTCTATTTACCCATAGCCGCAGGGAGAAGACGAGGATTCATACCTTTCCCAAGGGTATTAGCACGTAAGTGAATGTAATGGATTCGACTGGAATTCGAACTCGGCTCTCCGATTCCTCAGTCCGAGCCGCTATCCATTACTCCACCGCAACGAATTATTTGGTCCTAAGTTGCATGAAAGCGATACCGGCTTCCGAGATATTCAGAGTAGCTTGATCCGAACAGTTTGAGATTATTTAAGTATTTTTCACATTTAATAATAAAGTCGAAAGTTACAGAAGTTAAAGATGAATATGGCATTCATTGTTCTTTTGTTTGCAACGGATTTTTTCTCGTTCCATCAACATGGAAGCCTAACCTCCAGAAGATTAACGCATTGCACCATTTTTGTCTAATGTTTGCCACTGACATGGATTGAAACAATTTTAACGATTCAATTATTAGGTCTGATGATAGGGATGTTAGTTTACTGAGTGGTGCTCGAACATTTTTCTCACTAGAAACTATGTTTTTTTTGGGTTTTTTATAAGTCTACCATTTATTGGTGCATTAAATATTGCAGCCACATATAGGCTGGATCACCTGATAAGCATCTAGAGATTCTTGCCAGAATGCAAAGAAAAATCTGCAATATTATCGGCCCTGACATGACGTCTCGGCTTTAATCATCTCCCTACCGCCGTAACGTGGCTTCCTGGTGATGTTTCTATAAATAATTTCATGGTAAGTATTTTTCTTTTGTTATTTTTATGAGAGACATATTGTACATATAGAAACTAATTAGCACTTCATAGAGACTTTGAGGTATTATGGTGGTTGTAATAATAATGTTAAGTAAGAATGTGTTATTTTATTATAAGGAATACAGTTGTATATTTGGGTCAGTAATCTTGTAAAATAAGACCAGCCTTCTCTTATCCCCCACTTTTGGCCTCGTGTTATATTCTTGTATTTTTCAAAATAAATATTACTTGCTCCTTTGGTACCCAACCTTTATGACTTTAAGCGCAGTACTAGATTGGCAGAAAGGTCTCATCATTTTAAGGTCAAAATGGCTAGATGGAAACGTAAGTTCTATTCTAATAGTTTTTCCTCTCGCACTTTTCTCCTTGGTGTTTTCTGTCAACTAAGAGCTTCAAATATTTAAATAAAGTAGAACCTCGGTTCTCGAATGTCGCACTAAAAAATCGGTTTTCGAACACAATATTTGAGATGAAAAATGCCTCGGTTATCGAACAAAATTTCGGTTCTCGAATAACATTGCCGAACCGAGTAAACACGAACGGTCTAATTTCTGAATCGACCGCCGTTAGTATACATTCGTGTGTTGTGACGTGCTTTTCTTTTCTAGTTTTATTGTACCGTGACATTTTCTCTACATTGATTCCTTTTGGAAAAATAGTTTCGGCTAACGAACATTCCGGGTTACAAACGGCCTTCAGGAAGGAAGTAAATTCGTGAATCATGGTTCCACTGTATACCGTTAGTCGCCACATGCTGTCAAATTAAAGTTTGATCTGTTATTATCCTTTCTTCTCAATAACGTTGTCTCAGTTTCTTTTACTCTCAGTAGACCCTTGTGTCATAGTGGCTTTATCACCTTGCTTGTGAAAACTCTATGACATATTTTTCTTAAATTTTAGGCTTGCATTCCTTTTCAAACTTCTTTTATACGGATTTTTCTCTTGGCAATTTATCGTGTTGATCGGATAGTTCAGTAATTATTGTTTGTTTTTTGTTTTTTTCTCTGGTTTCATAGAGTATCATTTATTCCTTCAAAGCCAGAAATTTTTGATTGAGCCGAATTAAAATCCAATGTCTCCGAAGCTCGTTCTCCGATTAGAAAACAAGTGTAGTACATTCTTAAACATATTCTGCATCTTTTGCCTTTCGGTAACCAATGTTACAGATAGGTATAGGAGATTTAATTATCTGTGTAGCGTAGTAACAGATTTCGAAAATGATGGGACCGAAACCTGAAGGAATAGCGAAAGATGCATTTTAAAATATGGGCAAAGTATTATTCTTCATTAATGCGCTCGATTCATAATTTTCATTAGAAGACGGGTAGTGAATCCACTTAGGAAACTGGCGTAACACGATCTTTGAAAACACAGGTTATGATCTGGGTCTTTGTCATAATATATTAAAGTTAATAAATCCCAATAAATAAAAAATATTTCAAGCAAAATGGAAAAAAGGCATACGTCTTCATGAAATATTTCTTGAAGTCTCTTCATAAAATTCTCCGAGATATATCATTTAAATAGACATGACTTACAGAAAACAAGAAGGTGGTGGTGGAGGTTGAATGGTGGTAGTAGCGGTTGAGATGGTGGTGGAGGTTGAGATGTTGGTGGAGGTTGACGTAGTGGTGGTGGTAGCGGTTGAGGTGTTGGCGGAGGTTGAAGTGGTGGTGGAGGTTGAGATGGTGGTGGAGGTTGAGATGGTGGTGGAGGTTGAGGTAGTGGTGGTGGTAGCGGTTGACATGTTGGCGGAGGTTCAAGTGGTGGTGGTGGTGGAGGTTCAGGTAATGATGATAAGGGTTATGAGGATAATGGTGGTTGTGGCGGATGTTAAGGTGGTGATAGACATTAAGATGGTGGTAGATGTTGAGGAGGTGGTGGAGGTTGAGGTAATGGGATGGAGGTTGAGGTGATGGTAGTGGTAAAGGTTGAGGTGGTGGTAGTGGCGGTTGAGATTGTAGTGGTGGTGGTTGAGGCGATGGTGGTGGTGGTTGAGGCGATGGTGGTGGGTGTTGAGGTGGTGGTAGACTTTAAGGTGGTGACAGAGGTTGAGGCAGCGGTGGCGGTGGAGGTGATGGTGGTGGATATTGAGGCAGTGGTAGAGGTTGAGTTAGTGGTAGAGGTTGAGGTGGTGGTGGTAGCTGAGGTGATGGTGGTGGGGGTTCCTTTCTACCAATGGAATACGAAATAAATAAGGATGATTCGATCCTGTATACGTGCATGTTTTAAGCAAACGGTTTGAACTGGTGGGAATATATCTCATATATGTCCTATGGAAAGAGCGACTTTTCGTTTCTGGGAAACGGGTGGTATGGTGGAAGATAATTCCTCATTTTCTCTCTCTCTCTCTCTCTCTCTCTCTCTCTCTCTCTGGCAAGCGTAGAAAGTTAAGATTGAGTAAATTTAGCCAAAAAGTTCTGTGTGGTTCTGCAGAAGGATGCTAAGTATATCATGGACCGAGCGTGTGAGCAACGATGATATCTTAGAGAATTTGCAAACAAGGAAGGATCTTATACTTATCAGGAAGAGGTAGCTGAAGTTTCTGGGACACATAATGAGGAAGGAGGGCCTGCAGAATCTGATACTCACAGGTCGAATAGAGGGAAAGAGAGACAAGGAAAAACAACGTGTGACATACCTAGCGAACTAAAGCAAGTTGATTACAGTACGTTGTCTGGCGATCGTGGCAGAGAGAAGGAATTTATTGAGAGCTGCAAGGGAGATGGAGAGCCATGATCAACTACGACCTGAAAGGACATTACACATGAAAGATATAGCAGCAATAGTTTATTTTAGGTCTGATCTAACACAGATTGCAAAGACAGGGAACTGCAAGTGGAGTAAGATTGTTTCTGGAGCGGTAAAAGGAACCAGCCATTCCACTTCACTCCAGTATCTTATAGTTGAAATTTGAGTTGAAAAGAATTTAAAAAAAACAAAAAAAAAACATTGATTTATACTCTCTTTGGCAGAGCAAGGAGAGTAAATCGGAGAGGAAAACAAAAATACGGGAGAGCAAGGATGGAAAGATGAAGAGTTATTAGCAAATGACGTCGATGTCGATCAAATTGCTCTGTTAATGTTAAGATTCCTATTACGATTCGCATGCTCTAGTCATGTTTCGTATTTAATAATGGCCTTCGAACATTTATCATACAGAGTCTTGAGCTGTCATACTAATTTTCCATCCAATAAAAATTTCGCCTCCCTAATTGTGCTAAAATACTGCCAACGTATTTTTTGTTAAGGCCAAAAATAAAACAATCGCTATTTGCTTCTTTTTCTTATTGTACGTGTCATATCTCTTCAAGTTTGGTGTGGTTTCATTTTGTCTGTCTATATTTCTGAGATGAGGTATTATTTACATTATTCGGTCTATTGTCTCCATCTTTGTCGCCATATTTATTACAACGTTTCGGCTGTTGTGCGCTCCGGCCTTCTTCAGGTGGTTGGAATGTCGAACTGAACCCTTTATTTCGCTCACTTGGGTAAACTGTTCTAGATCCACGTGCCATGTCTAATGGATGTCAGTTATCAGTTATCTCCTGTTAATTCCCCTCTCCAATTTCTCCACTGGATTAACCAGGTATTGAACTCACATTCTTTGGGTCCTGTCACTGGATCTAACTAACATCTTTATCCACTGTGCTATGTGTCCTCAATGACTCATGGCACAGTTAAGGCGGTGGAGAGAGTTCGACCAGCACAGCTTAAAAATATTCCAGCTAGGCAATAAATATCCGTAGGGATTCCCCTACCGCATCGTTAAATATTTCAGTTTCAGAAATTTCACAATGCAATAACAATGATAATAATGTTATTTTAAGAAGTAAGGATGTACAAATAATTGAAACCAAGTTGCGTTGTTGATATATATTTTGTCTTCTCAGGAGATCAAAATGGAATAGTCCCTTATTAAGGAGGTATTAGCAGAAGTTAAACACCTCTATCTTTGTTTTTTTTGTTTTTTGTTTTTCACTGAAACTTATGTAGCGTCTTTCATATGTCTTTTGTCTTTCCACGAGACCAAAACGGAATAGCCCATTATTTATGAGGTATTGTTAGGGTGTAACGGTCGTGCGAACTAAAGAAGGGACTGATAAGCTCAATTATTATATGATTTTAATTCAAGATAATCTAGTAAGAATCATTTCGCCCTGAATAAGAAAATTATTTGAATAAATAAAATAGTGAAAATTAAATAAAAGAAAAATATGAAACAGTTGCATGAAATGAAAATTTGCTAAATATAATATTAAGTATATGAGTTTAAAAAGTTTACCTTATAAATATAAAATTATGTACAGAATGCCCGTCGTTGTTTGTGTTGAGTTTGTTTTACGGTATATCAACCTCAATATATTATTTAATGCCGACAATTTCTGCTAATATATTTTTTATTATCTATCTATCTATCTATCTGTCTCAGCCTATTCTATCTATCTATCTAAGCCTATTCTTTATCTATCTATCTATCTATCGGTCTCAGCCTATTCTATTCTATCTATCTATCTATCTATCTATCGGTCTCAGCCTATTCTATCTATCTATCTATCTATCTATCTGTCGGTCTCAGCCTATTCTATCTATCTATCTATCTGTCGGTCTCAGCCTATTATATCTATCTATCTATCTATCTATCTGTCTCAGCCTATTCTATCTATCTATCTATCTATCTATCTATCTGTCGGTTTCAGCCTATTCTATCTATCTATCTATCTATCTATCTGTCGGTCTCAGCCTATTCTATCTATCTATCTGTCTCAGCCTATTCTATCTATCTATCTATCTATCTATCTATCTGTTTGTCTTTTTCATTCTATCTAATATCTATCATCTATCTATCTATCTATCTATCTATCTGTCGGTCTCAGCCTATTATATCTATCTATCTATCTATCTATCTATCTGTCGGTCTCAGCCTATTCTATCTATCTATCTATCTATCTATCTATCTATCTATCTATCTGTCGGTCTCAGCCTATTATATCTATCTATCTATCTATCTGTCGGTCTCAGCCTATTCTATCTATCTATCTATCTATCTATCTATCTATCTATCTATCTATCTATCTGTCGGTCTCAGCCTATTATATCTATCTATCTATCTATCTATCTATCTATCTCAGTACATATTGGTATGTTTTGGTTTGGTTTGTTTTACGGCATATTTAATGCCGACAAGATTTTTATTGTTGGTAACACTTTTTTTTCAAAAATAATAATTTTTCCAAAAAAAGTATTGCTGGTATTAAAACCTATTTTTATACTCTCATAGTGTTTTTCGTGGGTGGGTGGGTGGTAAATATTTGCCCATAGAAGGGACCCTGACAGGTGCTACCACTTTCAGTTAGCTTGAACCTGGAAACACCAACAATTAAGAAGTGCTTCTCAAAACCTCCTGATGAAAGGCCTTGCTGTCGGATGTAGTTTAACGTCTTAATCAGAACGACCCGTTGTTGGAGCCATAGGGTTTCGTAAAAAATATATGTAGTTGAAGTCACAGATTTGCGTACAAAATATTTAGATTTCGCTATTAAATATATATTTAAATTATATTATATATTAAATATAAGTACCAAATGAGAATCGAACTCATGAAGAATGGAGTACCCAATGAGGATCGAGTCAGTCGTAATTGTAGCTAACAAGAAAAGTTTGCTAACCACTCGATAAAAAATACGATAAAGTGCCGTCGAGAATTTCGAAAAATAAATGATTAAATGCTATTTCCCAGCTGTTTGTTTAAAGGCATATCAACATTTTATGTGTCATTTAATGCTGAAATTTTATTTTCTTCTGAGCTTCGGTAATTTCTTTTTCAAAAATATATTACTTGCGATATATTTTTAATGGATTTTTTATATTTTCAAGTTTTGACACCGATTTGGGAGATCACTATTTACATAGCTGGGGAGCCTAACAACCTGCAAACCAGAAGTATGAATATATTTTGTTTTGGCTTCCTTAGAGACATAAATGAAATTACACGCCCTTAATTTTGGTTTTATATTTTATTTTTTTAAAAAAGCATATTACTTATTTGCAGTGCTTAATCTATAATAATATTTAAAAATATCTTTACACACATTGACTATTCTAAATCCTTAGAATTTAATGGCCGTCTATTGTAATTACTAGTTTATTTTAAGTAACTCCTGCTATACCAAATGACTTCGATTTTATAGCCCAGGTTTGGTTAGTTCTAACGGAAAATATTATTTAATAAGATTTAAAATAAATCATTAAAAGGATATTAATATTTTAGATTTATATAGGTCTATATTTTTACTTATGTTTTATTTAGGTCTGCAAGTCCGAACTCCAGCTAACGATATATATATATATATATATATATATATATATATATATATATATATATATATGTGTGTGTGTGTGTGTGTGTGTGTGTGTGTGTGTGTGTGTGTGTGCAGGTATGTAGAAAAAATAGGAAAGGTAAATAATCCAGGGTTCTTTAGTAATTTGTTTTTTATTTTTTAAAAAACAGTGCTCCATACATAAGTAGAGTTTAGATCATAATTATTTTTAAAAGATATGATTCCTTCGCTACATAAGAGTTCTCATGTTTCAAAAACGAGAGCCGAAACCATCAATATAATTATTAAAATAAATTTTCGCTTGAGGATGAACAGGACTTGTTACTTTAATTCAATTTAATTTTAATAATTATATTGATAGCTTCGGCTCTCGTTTTTGAAACATGAGAACTCTTATGTGAAGGAATCATATTTTTAAAAAAAATAATGATAATTATATATATACACACACACACACACACACACACACACACACACACACACACACACACACACACACACACATATATATATATATATATATATATATATATATATATATATAGATAACTAGACTCGTTTCGAAAAACCTCGAATTTTTTGATTTGCTAATAATCAAATCAATCTCGAGGGAAAAAAATTTTAAAAAAAAAAGAGCTACAAACATGAACTTCTGCCGACAAAAAAATCGCACAGATGCAGGTCTGAAGCCCAAAGAAAAAAACCCGATACAGTAACAACTAATTAACAAAAGAGCTCAATACAACCGTAGAGCAGACATATATATATATATATATATATATATATATATATATATATATATATATATATACGAAGGCATTTTACCTTGAGAAACCCTTTCATCAACATTCATCGGAAGGAAAACGTTGGCGTAATTAATGACAGGAATAAAGATATGGAAAATTCAAACAGCAAATAAATAGAGGAGGGAAAATTACGGGACACGATTAAAATATATTTCTTAGTAAAATAATTTACGAATAAAATTTAAATAGTTCCAAGTGAGTATAAAATGGAATAAATAATAGTCACGAACCTTCTAAAAGAGTAGGGAAGCAAATGAAATAATGAGCAGTAAATGATGAGCTAAGTGCAAAAATCGTGAAATGATCAGCAGTAAAGGATGAGCTGAGCGCAAAAATCGCGAAATGATGAGCTGTAAATGATGAGCTGAGTGCAACACTCGTGAAATGATGAGCTGTAAATGAGCTGAGTGCAAAAATCATAAAATGATGAGCAGTAAATGAGGTGAGTGCAAATATCATAAAATGATCCTTCTGTAAATGATGAGCTGAGTGCAAAAATCGTGAAATGATGAGCAGTAAAGGATGAGTTGAGTGCAAAAATCGTGAAATGATGAGCTGTAAATGATGAGCTGACTGCAAAAATCGTGAGAGAATTGTTCACATATTTTCTTAGTACAGGCAGCACTTCCAAGGTTTGTGGAGTACAAAAATAAAAATAAAAATAATATGGAGATAGCGGTGAAATTTACTGTATGAATTATCAATATCGTTTTTTACCGTCATTAATTACGCCAATGTTTTTCTTCCGATGAAAAGGGTGCCTTAAGGTAAAAATGCCTTCGCGTATATATATATATATATATATATATATATATATATATATATATATATATATATTCTTTTCCTTGTTAAGTCGGGTACTTTCATCTCTTTACTTAAAGGAAGCACTTACTTATGGATTCTTTTTTGACCCTTTTTATACCCACATAAATAGTCTTTCACTTTCGTATTCTTACAATAAATTGATTATTGCTGACTTTGACAACGATTAAGTAAGACAGCATAAAGCGGTAAGCAGCATTCCTGGCTTGCTGTAAATATATTAGAAAGCCTTTCACAAGAGCTGTCCTTCTAAGTGCGTTGTTGCTTAAGGACATGGACGATCACGGCTCTCCACAACCATTCAGATCTTAGTTATGTTTGACTTTGTACGATCCGACCCACTCCTTGTGGGCTTCGGCCATATCACGTAAACACCAATTCTCGTACGATCCCCAAGTTAAGTAACGTCGAGCCTAGTCAGTACCTAGATGTGTTATCTCTTGCCGATAAGTTGGGATGTGCGGGTGGTGTAATGGATAAAGGCTCGGAGTTGGAAATCCGTGAGTCGAGTTCCAATGCCAGTCTGGTTTATTATATTCTCTTAGGCAAATAACTTAAAGAAAGGTAGAAATCCACCTTTTCTCCCCTCAGTTATGGATTAATCAGTAGGCCTTGTTTCAATAAATCGTTATTAACTCCAAAATAAATTTAGAATCTAAAAATATCCACTGGCTTTAAATAACCTGTAAAAGGGTGATAAACCGTAAAAATAAATCAACTCGTTCTAACTTCCATTCAAATAAGCTCGTCTTATAGGTCGCCTGCTGACTAATTGTTACATTTGCGTTCGATATGTCCTGTGAGTGTCAAATTTTCCAAGCCCTCCTTCCACATTAGGAGTTCGAGAAATTTCATCTGTTGCTTTATTATTTTGTGTATAGCGATTTTCCAAGCGTAGCTTAGATGTGGCACAAGGCCGAAAGTATGGGGCACCCAGTGAGGATCGAACTTACTACTCAGTCGTAATTGTTCTAGCGCGACAAGCTTGCTAACAATTACACCATCTCGAGGTGCCCAATTATTTTGAGTATAAGTGTAGTTTTTTTCCCCTCCCATCTTCTATAAGATTTCGTCTTTACACGCTCCGTCTAGGATATTCTCAGGGTTCAGCTGCATAGCTACTTGTCTATAGCTTAAAGGCTCCTCTTCATCAGTGAGGAAATTTTCCAACTTTCCCTGCCTTAAATAATTATTCATATTCCATAAAAATTTTCCAATTAAAAATGGTTTCATCATTTATACTGTTTCTCGTCCATTTCGATTTCAAATGCAAACCCCTGCCATTCGTGTGAAGAACGATTAAGACTCCTACTTCACTTGTATATTTAGCAGTGATACTTTTAGTTTCTAAGTGTAGAAATGGTCCCGGCGGTAGATGAGCGTCGAGTTGGCGGCAATCCAAGCAAGATAAGAAAATGAACCGCTTGACTTCATTTCTAAGCATCTCATTAATAAAAGGTTGTTTTTTTTTCTCTATTTATTCATTGTTTCCTTTCGATTCTGTGATCACTTCCTCAGAAGAGACAAAAGTGCGGTACTCGACCTTACCAATCCACGCCGTCAAGATCTTTCAAACCATTTTTTTTCTTTTAATACTTCTTGGATGTTGATTTTGCGTTCGATTCAGTCGTTGTCCATTTTGCCTCGCACGTTCAGGATTGGTTGATATTTTATTTCTTACTCCTTTCTGCTAACCTGACTTCCACAGCTCATCTCTTTATTATATCTTTCTCTTTCTTTTCAGTTGCCTTTTTTATTCCAAAAAAAATCGTTCTTTTTTTTCTTTTTTTTTTTTCATTCTTCGTATTTACATTTGTTTGTTTTTCATTTTTCTATTTTTCTTTTGTTTCTCCTGTTTTTTTTTGGTCTTTCTTCTTATCTTTCCCTTTCTTTCTTCTCTTTTCTTTCTTTCTTTCTTTCTTTCTTTTTAGCTCTTTTAATTTCTCTCTCTCTCTCTCTCTCTCTCTCTCTCTCGCACTATCACTCATTTTTCTCTTCTTTTCTATTTGTCATTACGTTATTTTTTTCTTTCTTTTTTTCTGTATTTCTTATTGTTTTTTTTTCTTTTTCTTCTTTATTCCTTTCTTCATTTTTTCTTTCTTAACCTTTCTTTTTTCGTTTCGTTTCTTTCTTTCTTTCTTTTTTTCTTTTTTTCTTCGCTTTTATTTCACTTTTTTCTATCTTTCACTCCCCGCCTCTTTCCTTTTCCATTTTTCTCATGTGTACTCCTTTTTCGTTCTCCTTTTCTTTCTACATGTTTAGCTGAGTTGGTATTTCTTTCTTTCTTTCTTTCTTTTCATTCACTTTCTTTCTTTCTATCTTTCACTTCCCCCTCTTTCATTTTCTTTTCTTTCTCACATTTCAACTTTTTCTTTCACCCTTTCTTTCTACTTGTTTAGCTTTTGTTATCTCTTTCTTTCTTTCTTTCTTTCTTTCTTTCTTTCTTTTTAATCTTTTTTTGTTCATTGTATTTCTTTCAATTCTCACTTTTTCCTTTTTAATTATTTTTATCATTTCTTTCTCTTTTTCTATTTGTTTAGCTTCATTAGGGCCTTGCTTTTTGCTCTTTTCCTCCACTTAAACACTCTTTATTGTCAATTACTTATTTCTCTTCTTCTTCTTCTTCTTCTTCTTCTTCTTCTTCTTCTTCTTCTTCTTCTTCTCCTGGAACGCCATTTCAGTTGTCTTTACTCTTACTTTCCTTCCATGCATTTATTGTCCATCGATCTAATCAGTCTGCTTTTCCTTCTGATCCAAACTTTGATTTCCTTTTTATCAATTCTCGTAAGTGAATCAATCATTTTTCTGAAACAATAATGCTTGAGCAGAAGCTAAAATGTAAAAGAAAAAAATGTCTGATACGGATGCGGAAAAGTGAAAGAAAAAAAATAGACAATTCCAGAAAGAAATAAACATGTCAGTGAATGAATTACGAGTAGAAAATCGACAAGCACCAATTGAAACCATTATGATTGACTATTCTAACGAAGAGATGACGGCTTAATTGAATAAATTTTGAATTTGTACTTGTATATATATATTTTTTTTAATTTTACGTTTTCCAACAGGCAAAATACAAATTGGAGATGCCAAAATCAAACAAGTACAATTTAAATATCTGGGAAGTGTTTTAACAGAGGACAGTGTGTGTGACATTTAAATCCGATAACCAATGATTCAATCCAACATCTATATGTCAGAGTATTATAAAAAAACAGTCGTTAGAAACAAAAAAAGACTACTGAACAGTTAAGTAATGTCATATTACTATATGGCAATGAACGATGGTCAAACTCTTCAGTTTTATATTTACATAAGATCTGTGATATTGAGCATAACTTAAAACAATATTTGAAAATTATATATATATATATATATATATATATATATATATATATATATATATATATATAGATAGATAGATAGATATTCATTATTTATTAAGGCGTCTACCAGAGGAGGACTGATATTGAAAATAAATTTAAAACAATGCTCCGAGGCCGACACTTAGAGGCTGATGATGGCCGCGTACACAACGGCTTGAAATGTTGAGATAATTTTTGTTTGTTTGCTGTTGAAACAAAAATGCATATGCTCTGTTATAAAACATACATCGAGTACTCTATGGATCAGTTTTATCAATTAGTATTACTAGGATCGTCCCGGATTATATACTAACGGACCGATTACCTGTACAATCTTAGAGATATATATATATATATATATATATATATATATATATATATACTTTATTATGTTATATATCTTATTTTATATAGTATATGTATCTTATATATATATATATATATGTATCTATCTATATATATATATATATATATATATATATTAGATTATATGTATCTTGTTATATATATATGTGTGTGTGTGTGTATGTGTGTGTGTGTGTGTGTGTGTGTATGAAAAATTTCTAAGAATTAACCGTTAGAAAAAGAAACACTATTTTTAAAATGTAAAAGGCAGTTTTCCTATTGTCTTTTACATTTTATATATATATATATATATATATATATATATATATACAGAGAGAGAGAGAGAGAGAGATTGAGAGAGAGAGAGGCAGAGGCACGGTGAAGTAATGTATAGCGGCTTGGATTGAGGAATCGGAGAGCGAGTTCGAATTCAATCGAATCAAGTAACATTGACTTACGTGCTAATACCCTTGGGAAAGGTGTGAATCCTTATTTTCTCCCTCCAGCTACGGGTAAATAGCAGGACAGACTGGGTTCTATAGCCTTGGATGGCAACTGGTCTAGGAGAAGGACAACTCTGAATTCAAAACCCGCGGAGGGTCGTTTGGGGACCTTGTGGCACGTAGTGCACCAGGTCTCTGTATTCGGCCCTTCAAAAAGTGTGGCTGGTTTTGCACGAAACCTTCACCACTATAATCAAATCTCATGTGCTGTTGTCGGTTTCCTAGGATCTGATCTTCTTGACCCTCATATGTCGAATTAGACGGGATAGCCGAGTATATATATATATATATATATATATATATATATATATTAGATTTTAGATTGAATAAAAGCGATGTAGAGATATCGGTAGAAATAGTCTATTCTCCTGAGGTAATTGTTGATTTCCCTGTTATGTAATATATATATATATATATATATATATATATATATATATATATATATATATATATATATATATATATATATATATATATATATATATATATATATATATTATGGATACTCATATCAGAGTAGACGCTCTGCTTATCTATTAAAAAGTATATTTATTTTTGTCTACCGGCCTGAATATTCGAGAAATCTTATTAAAGAGAATATTAGAAACGCAGTTATCCTTAAAAAAAGTAACGTTTATATAATACGATATGTCGGATTAATAAATAAAAAAAACATGACTTCTTTATTATTAAAGCTAAGCAGAGTTCTAAGAAACAGAAAAACTTTCCTTAAAAACCAGGAAAAATTAGTAAACTGCGATGTGATATCTGTCCTCCTATTTGCCAGTCAGTTCTAGACAATCTCCTCACAGATGAAGAAGAGACTTGAAGCAAAAGAAATATGGTTTTACAGAAGGATGCTGAGAATTTCAAGTTTTAGTGAAAATGCCAACAAGAAAATCATACTTAACATTAGTAAGAGACAGTTGAAGTTACTTCCGGACATAATGAGGAAAGGGGGTTTGGAAAATCTGATACTCTCAGGACAGATTGAAGGTAAGAGTAACGGAAGAAAACTACGCATAATCCACTTAGAGGGCTTGTGGAAATGGTTTCGGAGAAATAGCAAAATGACAACATTTATTAAGAGCTACAAAGGACAAGACATTGTGGAGCGTCGTGATCGCCTACGCCATGAACGACATGGTGCATAGATTTGACTCTGAGACACTGGTTGCCCTTTGGCAATTCATAACACAAAGAACCAACTTCTGTCAGTGTTACAGCGAGGATAACGAGAGCAGAGTGTTAGGTTTGGTCAATGCAGACCAGATTTCGGGCCTTAAACTGGAATGCTGGCATGAAAACAATTCATCATATTGAACAAGGAATGAGACTGTCAGACGCAAACAGCGGGAAAAAACAGTGTGGCATTGTGCATCCCATAAATATATGCACAACTTAATTCCTTTTGATGACATATGTAGAAATCTCACCGGAGAGTATAAATTAACTATGATTTTGAATGTAACGTTCAACTCAACTTATACATTTTTTAATCATTTTTTTCTGACTTGTTTTCTCTTGTAATGTTTTATTACTGCAGTTATATAGAAGATTTAAAATGTTGTGGTTTCTTGTTTTATGTTATGCCCTATTGTTGGCTTGCTTTTTGTATACAGTGACGTTATCAATTCTACATAAATTGCTTTCGTTTCCTTAAAAGCAGAGAAAATGTCCTGGAATCTCATGTAATATTCGTGCTGATATATGGAAAGTGAACGCTGGACAATCTCTTCACAGACGAAGGGTAGATATGAGGCAAGAGAAATGTGGTTCTCAAGAGGGATGCCTAGAATTCCATAGCTATACATATGAGAAACGACAAAGTTTTAAGGAAAATGGAAACAAACAGGACACTTATAGTTATAATCAGTCAGACTGTTGAAATTTCTAACTCTTGGTTTTCTTTTCTATTGAATAGTTGCGTGCTAGGTTCAAGAGAGGTATTTCCGATGGCTTAATGCTGTATTTTAGCCAGATTAGATTTCGTAAATCTTTCCACATAGCAAATAAATAAAGAAAGAATGGAAGAAGAAAAAGAAAGAAAGAATGTAAGAAGAAAAAGAAAGAAAGAATGGAAGAAGAAAAAGAAAGAAATAAGGGAAGAAGAAAAAGAAAGAAAATGGAAGAAGAAAAAGAAAGAAATAATGGAAGAAGAAAAAGAAAGAAAATGGAAGAAGAAAAAGAAAGAAAATGGAAGAAAGAAATATCAAAAGAAGGTAAACAAATAGAAAAAAAGAGGAGGAGAAAGAACGAAATGAGAGAAAAAAAAGGCAATGGTGAGAATTGAAGTAGAGATAATGGACAAAAAGATGAACAAAAAAGAAAGAACGAAAGAAAGAAAGCTAGAGGAGAAAGAATAAAAGAAAGAAAGAAAGAAAGAAAGAAAGAAAGAAAGAAAGAAAGCTAGAGGAGAAAGAATAAAAGAAGAAAAGAAAGAATGAAAGAAAGAAAGCTAGAGGAGAAAGAATAAAAGAAAGAAAGAAAGAAAGAAAGAAAGAAAGCTAGAGGAGAAAGAATAAAAGAAAGAAAGAAAGAAAGAAAGAAAAAGAAGAAAGAAAGAAAGAAATAATGGAAGAAAAAAAAAAGAAAGAAAAAAGAAAATGGAAGAAAGAAACACGAGAAGCTAAACAAATAGAAAAAAAGAGGACGAGAAAGAACGAAATGAGAGAAAAAAAAAGCAAAGGTGAGAATTGAAGTAGAAAAAATGGACAAAAAAGATGAACAAGAAAGAAAGAAAGAATGAAAGAAAGAGAGAAATCTAGAGGAGAAAGAAAGATAGAAAGAAAAAATGAAAGAAAGATAGAAAGCAAGAGAAGACAAAAAAAAAGAAAAAAAGAAAAAAAAGGAATAAATAAATGCAACGAAAGAAATACCAAAAGACAAATACAAATAGAAAAAAAAAGGAAGAAAGGGTTGAAATGAGAGAAAAAAAAGGAGAATTGAATGAGAGCAAATGAACAAAAAGATAAACAAGAAAGAAAGAAAGAAAGGAAGAAATAAATAAATAAAATGAAAGAAAGAAGTACCAAAAGAAGCTAAAAAATAGAAACAAAGAAAGAAACGAAAGAAAAAAAGAAAAAGGAAAAACTGAAAATTGAAAGCATCTAGTGTAAAATGACTTTTTCTGCTTTTGTTGAGATTCTCATTGTATACATTACCGTAATTGACTTATATCTTTGATGTCTATACGTAAGATGCATTTTTGTTGGAATTCACAATGTAATGAAACCAG